TGTATGGATGTGAGAGTTGGACTGAAAGCTGAGCACCACGAATTGAGCTTGAATGCTTTTGAACTGTGGTGTTGAAGACTCTTGAGAGTTCCTTGGACTGCAGGGAGATCCAACCAGTCAATCCTAAAGGAAATCAGCCCTGAATATTCATTGGAAGGACTGATACTGAAGCTGAAACTCCAATACTTTGACTACCTGTTGCAAAGAACTGACTCCTTGGAAAAGACTCTGATGCTGGGAAAGACTGAAGGCAGGAGGGGAATGGGATGACAGAGGATGAGATGGTTGGATGGCATCACCGATTCAATGGACATGAGTTTGGGTAAACTCTTGGAGTTGGTGATGGACAGGTAAACCTGGCATGCTGCAGTCCAAACAGTTGCAAAGAATAGGACACGACTGAGCAACTGAACTGACTGAACATGTTGGGTATTGCCATCCAGGGAGGTTCAGTCAAGTTTTGGTATCCAAAGTTTTTACTGGGGCTTCCTTACGGAGCTGCTGATCAAAAGCTTTTAGGTTTAATTAGGTCCCCAGTTGTTTTTTTGTTTTTATTTTCATTATTTTAGGGTCAAAAAAGATCTTGCTGTCATTTATGTCAAAGAGTCTTTTTTGTGTGTTTTCCTTGAAGAGTTTTATAGTGTCTGGTCTATATACATTTAGGTCTTTAATCCATTTTGAGTTTATTTTTGTGTATGGTGTTAGGTAGTATTCTAATTTCATTCTTTTACATGTAGCTGTTCAGATTTTCCAGCACCACTGATCAAAGAGGCTGTCTCTTCTCCACTGTCTGTTCCTGCCTCTTTTGTCATAGATTAGGTAACACAGGCATGTGGGTTTATCTTTGTACGTTCTATTCTGTACCATTGGTCTATCGTTCTGATTTTGTGCCAGTACCATATTGTTTTGATTACTGTAACTTTGTAGCATCATTTGAAGTCAAGGAATCTGATTCTTCCTCCTCCATTTTTCTTTCTCAAGATTACTTTGGCTATCCAGAATCTTTTGTGTTTCCATACAATTTGTAGAATTCTTTGTTGTAACTCTGTGACAAATACCATTGGTAATTTGATAGGCATTGCATTGAATCTGTAAATTGCTTGGGTAGTATATTCATTTTCACTACAATGAGTCTTCCAATCCAAGAACATGATATATTTTTCATTCTGTTTGTGTCCTCTTTTGATTTATTTCATCAGTGTTTTATAGTTCTCTGAGTTCAGGTATTTTACTTCCTTAGGTAGATTTATTTCTTAGTATTTTATTCTTTTTATTGCGATGGTAAATGGGATTGTTTCCTTAATCTCTCTGTCTATTCTTTTGTTGTTAGGAATGCAAGTAATTTCTGTGCACTAATTTTGTACCTTGTAACTTTGCTTCTGTTTCATTGACTATGCTAAAGCCTTTGACTGTGTGGATCACAACAAACTGGAAAATTCTTAAAGAGATGGGAATGCCAGACCACCTTACCTGCCTCCTAAGAAACCTGTATGCAGGTCAAGAAGCAACAGTTAGAACTGGATATGGAACAGACTGATTCCAAATTGGGAAAGGAGTACATCAAGGCTGTATATTGTTACTCTGCTTATTTAACTTATATAGAGAATACATCATGTGAAATACTCTGCTGGATGAATCACAAGCTGGAATCAAGATTGCCAGGCAAAATATCAATCTTAGATATGCCACACTAATGGCAGAAAGTGAAGAGGAACTTAAGAGCCTCTTGATGAGGGTGAAAGAGGAGAGTGAAAAAGCTGGCTTAAAACTCAGCATTCAAAAAATGAAGATCATGGCATTCAGTCCCATTGCTTCATGGCAAATAGATAGGGAAACAATGGAAGTAGTGACAGACTTTATTTTCTTGGGCTGCTAAATCACTGCAGATGGTGACTGAAGCCATGAAATTAAAAGATGCTTGCTTCTAGGAAGAAAAACTATGACAGACCTAGACAGCATATTAGAAAGCAGAGGCATCACTTTGCTGACAAGGATCCATCTAGTCAAAGCTGTGGTTTTTCTAGTAGTCATGTATGGGTGTGAGAATTGGACCATAAATATGAAGGCTGAGTGATGAAGAATTGATGCATTTGGACTGTGGTGCTGCGGATGACTCCTGAGAGTCCCTTGGACACAAGGAGGTCAAACCAGTCAATTTTCAAGAAAATCAGCCCTGAATATTCATTCGAAGGGCTGATGCTGATGCTCCAGTATTTTGGCCACTTGATGTGAAGAACTGTCTCATTGGAAAATACCCTCATGCTGGGAAAGATTGAAGGCAAAAGGAGAAACGGGCGAGAGAGGATGGAATGGTTGGATGGCATTCATTGACTCAGTGGCATGAGTTTGAGCAAACTCCAGGAGATAGTGAAGGACAGGGAAGCCTGGTGTGCTATATAGTCCATGGGGTTGCAGTCCAGAGTGGGACATCACTCAGTGACTGAACAACAGCAGACTCACCATATTCACTGATTAGTTCCAATAGTTTTCTGGTGGAATCTTAAAGGATTTTCTGTATATAGTACAGCAAACAATGACAATTTTACTTCTTTTCCAATTTGTCATCCTTTTATTTCTTTTTTTCCTCTGGTTGCCATGATGAGGACTTCCAAAACTATGTTGAGTAAGAGTGGTGAGAGTGGCCGTTGTTGCTTTGTTCCTGATCTTAGGGGAAATGCTTTCAGCTTTTCACCATTGAGAATGATGTTTACTGTAGGTTTGTCATATCTGGTCTTCATTATGTTGAGGTAGGTTCTCTGTATGCTCATTTTCTGGAGAGGTTTTTTTTTATTATTATTATAAATGGGTGTTGAACTTTGTCAAAAGCTTTCTCTACACCTTTGAGATGATCATATGATTTTTACTCTGTGTTAATATAACACTTTGCTTGATTTGCATATATTAAAGAATCTTTGAGTTCTGGGATACGCAGATGTGTGAGATTCAAAGTGTGTATAGAGGTATAAATGAAGCAAAATTGTGACTTAAACATTCCTGTTCCTCTCTGTTCATTTTTCTTTCTGCAAACAATCACTGTGTGTGTGTGTGTGTTTGTACGTGAGCTCCATTTAAAGGTGTGTATAATTTTGATAGATGTTGCCAAATTGCCCTCCTTCAGTTAGGCTTTTATAATAGAGACCAAAGTTGTATACATGGGCTTACATCTATACTGAGTCATCGAGAACCTTTGTAAGTCTTTTGAATTGTGTAGTTGGTTTGCTGCCTCTGGTGCTAAGTCGCTTCANTCCAGAAGAAACTATTAGAAAATTACTAGAGCTAACCGGTAAATTTAGCAAAGTTGCAGGATATAAGATCAATACACAGAAAGCACTTGCATTTCTAAATACTAACAATGAAAAATCAGAAAGAGAAATTAAGGAATCAATCCCATACACCACTGCAACAAAAAGAATAAAATATCTAGGAATAAACCTACTTAAGGAGACAAAAGACCTGTACCTGGAAAATTGTAAGACACTCATGAAAGAAATCAAAGATGACATAAACAGATGCAGAGATATTCTATGTTCCTGGGAAGGAAGAATCAATATTGTGAAAATGACTATACTACCAAAGGCAATCTACAGATTCAATGTGAGCCCTATCATATTACCAATGGCATTTTTCACAGAACTAGAACAAAAATTTCACAGTTCATATGGAAACACAAAAGACCCTGAACAGCCAAAGCAGTCTTGAGAAAGAAGAATGGAGCTGGAGGAGGCAATCTTCCTGACTTCAGATTACACTACAAAGCTGCAGGCATCAAGACAGTACAGTGCTGGCACAAAAACAGAAATGCAGACCAATGGAATAAGACAAACCCACGCACCTATGGGTACCCTCTTTTTAACAAAGGAGGCAAGAATATACAATGGAGCAAAGACAGCCTCTTCAATAAGGGGTGCTGGGAAAACTGGACAGCTACATGTAAAAAAATGAAATTAGAACAACTCCTAATGCCATAGACAAAGATAAACTCAAAGTGGATTAAGGACCTAAATGTAAGACCAGAAACTATAAAACTCTTAGAGGAAAACACAGAACACTTGATGACATAAATCAAAGCAAGATCATCTATGACCCACCTCCTAGAGTAAGGGAAAGAAAAACAAATGTAAACAAGTGGGACCTGATTAAACTTAAAAGCTTTTGCACAGCAAAGGAAGCTATAAGCAAGGTGAAAAGATAGCCCTCAGAATGGGAGAAAATAATATCAAATGAAACAACTGACAAAGGATTAATTTCCAAAATATATAAGCAGCTCATACAACTCATCGGCAGAAAAACAAACAACCCAATCAAAAAATAGGGAAAAGTCCTAAACAGACATTTCTCCAAAGAAGACATACAGATGGCTAACAAACACATGAAAAGATGCTCAACATCACTCATTTTAAGAGAAATGCAAATCAAAACTACAATGAGATATCACCTCACACAGGTCAGAATGGCCATCATCAAAATGTCTACAAACAATAAATGCTGGAGAGGGAACACAAACTGATACAGCCACTATGAAGATGGTATGGGGATTCCTTAAAAAGCCAGGAATAAAATCACCATATGACCCAACAAATCCACTCCTAGGCATATACTCTGAGGAAACCAAAATTGAAAAAGACACATGTACCCCAAAGTTCACTGCAGCACTATTTACAATAGCTACAATATGGAAGCAACGTAGATGTCCATCAACAGATGAATGGATAAAGAGACTGTAGTACATATATACAATGGACTATTACTCAGCCATATAAAGGAACACATTTGAGTCCATTCTAAAGAAGTGGGTGAACCTAGAGCCTATTATACAGAGTGAAGTAAGTCAGAAAGAGAAAAACAAATATTATATATTAATGCATCTATATGGAATCTAGAAAGGTGGTAATGATGAACCTATTTAAGGGCAACAGTAGAGACACAGACTTAGAGAACAGACTTGTGGACATGGATGGGGGAGAAAGGGGAGGGTAAGATGAATGGAGAGAGAAACATGGAAGCATATACACTACCATGTGTAAAATAGATGACCAATGGGAATTTGCTCTGTGACTCGGGGAACTCAAACTGGGGCTCTGTAACAACCTGGAAGGGCGGGAAGAGGAGGGAGGTTAAAGACGAAGGGGACACGTGCATACCATGGCTGACTCATGTTGATACATGGCAGAGGTCAACTCAATATTGTGAAGAAATTTTCCTTCACTTAAAAATAAATAATTTTGGAAAATGAAAAAAAAAAAAAGCAAAAAAACAATGCCTTGTTAAGAAGTTAACCCCAGGTGCATTTTTTTATTTTGCCTTTGCTGGAGACTGTGGAGGCCACTTTAACAAACTGCAGGAAATAAAATAGAGATATCATTGTTTGCTCAGGAAATCTCACTGGGGAAGAAAGGATATGTGTAATGGTGAAGTCAAAACCAAGTGTGTTTGTTGTGGTAGTGAGTACCATAAACATATAGATCTATTTGTGATTGGTACTTTATTACAGCTATCTCTGTTCTACTTGAAACTAAATTCCTTTTCTTTCATGCAGAAGAAAATGGTTAAATATAGGCAGAGGAAAAATTCACATATATACTTATATTTGAAAAAAAAAGTAGTTAAGAAAATACTTTTTACCTGAAGAATTAGTAGTGCAAGGCAGGCGGTGTTATGAATCTTCATCCTGTCTGTTGTTTCCATCATTTTAAATTAAGCTGTAAAGAGTTATCTTTGGAGTACTGATGAATAGGAACATAAAAACAGTTCTGTGTTTTGGGGACATCTTTCTCCATTGAGTGTTATCATCCTCGACTGTGACATGGTGCTAGTCCACAGTGGAAAGGACGTAGTTCGCTTGGTGAGCATTTTGGAGCTGTCAGTGAAGGAGTGAGTAACTGGCGTCCTCCTCACCCAGTGGTTATTGCTCCATCATCTACACTGCTCTTGGCCTTTGCTGTCCTGCAACTAAGTTTTAAGGCCATGGTGCTTCCTCCCCTCCCCTGCATATAGCCAACAGTATGAATGGACTATGTCTGTCGTAAAGTGCTTACCACTGCTAAAACATTGATTGAGCGGATAGTAGGCCCTCGGTGTGCTGTGTTGAAAAGATAGATGGGTGTGTGGGTGTACAGACCAATAGATGGGAGGGTGGGCAAGCAAGCTGTGCTTGGAGGATAGGGCACAAAGCAGGGCATTTGTATTGGGGTGTGAGTAATGCAGAGACCTGGGATGATTGCTGGAGATAGAGGGTTTATGATACCAGGCTGGAGACCACTTTGTAGGTAGGAAGAAATTACGAAGTACTTAGAGCAAGAGAGTGACTTGATAAAGCTTGAATTTTGGTAAGAGTAATCTGAGGGGAAATGATTAATAAGAGCAATTGCCCATAGGCACTAATAGGGAAAATATATATCTAAAAATGACCTCTTGTTTCTTTTAAGGTTAAAAATGTTATTGTGATAGACATGAAATAATAAAATATGAATTTTCTTATATTTTCTCTCCCATTTATCCCCTCTTATCCCTGCATAGAATAGGGAAGAGTCTACTGCAGGGATGGACTATGGAAAGGAGAGATGAATTTAAAGAGTCTCTTTAAAAACTCATCCTCTAGGTATAAAGTGAAAGAGTAGGAATAGAATTAATTTAAATCCTCAAACTAACACATATATGAGAGTTATGTGTCAGATGGGTACATTTTCTCTTTGTGTCTTAAAATAAGATTAATGAGGTAGGGGTCATGTTGTTAATTTGTTCAGTGAACTTGGAACAATATATTTTGCTTATGTGTTTTGTTAAAACATATATTATGGTCAAATCAGATTATCAATTGAGTGTTAACATTAGATTGAATTTAGGCATATTAATTATAAATCTACTGTAATTTTTTTTTTCAGATAACTTCTTTGTGGATGATTATGCTAGATTTACTGTCTTGGATTCCCAAGGCAAGACTGCTGCTATAGCCAACAGTATGAATTATCTGACTAAGAAAGGTAATACATTTTAGGCTTACCTTGGATTCAACTTTTTTTTTTTTTTTAGTATTTACAAAAATTTAGTGTCTGTTGAGAAAGAGATTCCATAATTTCTGTTGATTTTTGGTATAATTATTTGAGTCTAGAAATTAACCTATTTAAATTTAATTTATATATATATTTGAAAATTCAGATGTTATCTTTATAAATTTTGTGTGCTGTGCTTAGTCGCTCAGTCATGTCCAACTCTTTGTGACCTCATGAACTGTAGCCCATCAGGCTCCTCTGTCCATGGGATTCTCCAGGCAAGAATACTGGAGTGGGTTGCCATGCCCTCCTCCAGGGGATCTTCCCAAACCAGGTCTCCTGCATTGCAGGCGGATTCATTTCTGTCTGAGCTACCAGGGAAGTCCAAGAATACTGGAGTGAATAGCCTAACCCTTCTCCAGGGGATCTTCCTGACCCAGGAATCGAACCAGAGTCTCCTGCATTGCAGGCAGATTCTTTACCAGTTGGGCTACCATAGTAGAAATAAAAGGCAAAAGGAAAAAAATTTTTCATGGTTCAGAATGGAAAAAGAATTATGTAAAAATGGCTTAATGGATTGCAGATTGGTTTGACTCACCTCTTCAATGACAACATTGGATTACATTTTTAGGATTTATAAGATAAGTGAAGTGAAAGTCACTTAGTCATGTCCAACTCTTTGTGACCCCATGGACTATGCAGTCCATGGAATTCTCTAGACCAGAATACTGGAGTGGGAGGCCTTTCCCTTTTCAAGGGGATCTTCCCAACCAGGGATCGTCTCCCACATTGCAGGTGGATTCTTTACCAGCTGAGCCACAAGGGAAACTTGGTTCCAGAAATCCTTGTATATATTTTTAAACTGATTTTGATACAGAGTTCTTTATGCAGATCAAAATCATGTAAAATGATACCCTTTTAATGGCAGACAGATGTTTTTCCTCTCTGGTCACATTTATTACCCTTTCAAAGCACCGACTGTCATTTAGGGTAGCTATTTTTGTTACCATTGTAGCTTTCTCCCAGAGAGAAATTCTGGCTTTTCAAATGTATATTTAAATACAGGCAACTGCTCCATTTGGTTCCTCAAAGAAATTGATTCTGAGGAGTCCTTGTATAGTTCTGTGACACAAATGGGACTAAGAACCAGAAAAAAAGCATAGAGGATGTTGGGCATTATTTAAAATTTGTCTCTTAAGTTGGCATTAATTAGAGAAATGACATTTTCTTTTCTTCTACTCTTTTTCCTTTACTTTTGTCCAGGAATGTCCTCCAAGGAAATCTATGGTAACTTTAAACTTCAGAATGTTCTATTCCTTTTATTAATTTTTATTAATTATCTTATGTGGTTCAGGCACTGTTGTAATTCAGAATTTATTGCTACTTTATTGGAATGTTTCTGGAACCTGTGGGTAACATAATTTATCAATGCAGATAAGTTCTGTATGTTTGTAAAGAGTTATATTTTAGAAAGTTACAAATGAATATGATTAAAGACTATCATATGTTACCCACACTTTCAAAGACTCTTTTTCATTTTACATGCTAACAGATGCCCGAACCAAAATAAATTAATAAATGCATGTTTCTAGTTTCTAATTAAGCCACATGGAAGGTTATCATGCTTTCATTCTAGTATCAAAGTTTTGCTGCTTTTGCTTTGTGTCTTTATTTCTTGCATGGTTTGCAGAAATCACTTGACTTAAAAACAGTACTGAAACATAGGATGTGCTTTCTCCCCTCCTCCCACTCAGTATGTTGTGTTTCTTTTTCTACAGATGATTCTTTTATTAGGCCAGTAACTTTTTGGATTGTTGGGGATTTTGATAGCCCTTCTGGAAGGCAGTTGTTGTATGATGCTATTAAACATCAGGCAAGTATCTACTACTTCAGTCTGTATCTTTGTTTGAAGCTGCAGTATCTTCATGAACATCTGTGTGCTGATAATATTCTGGTGGGGAGTCTGAATCCTGCGTTTTTAGTACTTGGGGAAAAGAAGCATTGTTTTCTCAGAGGTCTGGCAACTATTGAGAAAGCCTAGAAGATTGCAACATTCTGACTTTTTCTTTAAAAAATTTATTTGTTTATTTATGGCTGTGTTGGGTCTTTCTCTGGTTATATTGAACGGGGCCTCTTCTTCATTGCGGTGCACAGGCTTCTCATTGCAGTGACTTCTCTTGTTGCAGACCATGGCCTCTAGGCTGCAGCTCAGTAGTTTTGGCAAAAGGGCTTAGTTGCTCCACAGCAATGTGGGATCTTCCTGGAGCAGGAATCAAACCCATGTCCCCTGCATTGGCAGGCAGAATCTTAACCACTGGACCATCAGGGAAGTCTGGGAATAGATTCATTTAGAGGAAAAAATAACGAGACATAGACAAGTTTTTAATTGTACGACTGTTCATGCCTTTGCTGAAGAGATGCTACAAGGTTCATTTTGTATATTGTGTGGAAGAGACAGAATCCTTACCTTGACAGAGGTCCAGATATGGGAAAAATATTACTTAGGCACATCAGCGCCTGTGTAATAGAAGTCGGTGTAGGCATGCAGAGGGATGCACATACAGGTGGCCTGAAAGCTAGGCAGGGTATCACCTGTAGAAGTGGAGTGAGTAGCAGTGGTGAACAGTTGAAAAAATATCACCTCTTCTAGACATCCTCATTGTCAGGGAGGGAGATGTTACCTTTCTTGAGTGGTTTCAGATTGGATCTTCATCCAGGTTTCGCACCCCCCTGACCTGTGTCCCCTTACCACGCTGTGTCCCAAGGAGGCTAACTGAAATACTGATGTACTGAATGCCTTTATTGTCCAAAGGAACAGACTAGATGGTGTGGTCAGTTCAGAGTTGTGTTGTGAGCAGTCCTGGAAGGATGATATACGTATAATGCATTTTTAAATTGATAAAGCTTGTGCGGTGGTAAAGTGGGAGAACAGGGAGTGGGTAATTGAGGTGATACATAGGTTCAGAAGACAAGCACAAATTAATAGGATATACCTTGTCACCAAATGAATGCACCCATGTGACCACCACCCAGGTACAGAAATAGTCACCTGAAAGTATGGCCCTGCCTGTGGCCTCATCACTATCCCTCTCCTGTCCTTCTCCTCATATCCTAGGTTTGCCTGTTACTTACTTTGTTTAAATAGACTCTTACAATATTAATATGTGTTTGTTTGCATTTGATTTCTTTGTTCAACATTTTTGAGATTTATCCATGGCTTTACAAGTAGTGGTAATTAGTTCTGTTTCATTGTGCATTGGCTGTACCACAGAGTTCTGTTTGTTTAGTCTGTTTGATGGACAGTTGGTTTGTTTCTAGTTTGGGGCTAGAAGAATGCTGCAGTGAATACTCCTTATATGTGTTTTTAGATACACATAAGTATGAATGATACACATAAGTATGAATTTCTGTTGCTATGGACGTTTTTTTGGTTTTTGGGGTCCTAGATATCTTCTTCCACATGAATTCTTGACTTTTTCCAAAGGAGAGATTAATTTTTACTAGAAATCGGTGAAGGCCATGTGACTGAAGGGTTTGCTGAGAGCCCTTCAAGAGGGTTGTGACTTATGGTAGTTAAAGATGGGTGTAGTTGGGATTCACATGCCCAAGTGAGGCATAACATGCACAAGAAGAATGCAAAGTGTGTTGGGGAAATACAGGACTCTGACAATCTGTAATGTATACCGTATTTACAGAGGTGGCAAGAAATGAATTGGAAAGGTAGGTTGGGGGCCAATTCATATAAGGGTTTGAATGCCTACTTACAGCATTTTAATTTTATTTGGTATGCAGAGGAGAACGACCGAAGACTTAAGTATTATTTGCTACTTATGGAATATGACTGATGTTAATGCTGCTTTTTAAGTTCAAGACATCTACCATATAACCCTTATTTCCCATTTTGTAAATAGAAATCCAGTAACAATGTTAGAGTAAGCATGATAAATAATCCTAGTGAAGATATAAGTTATGAGAAAACTCGGATCTCCAGAGCAATCTGGGCTGCTCTCCAAACACAAACCTCCAACTCCGCTAAGAATTTCATCACAAAAATGGCCAAGGAGGAGACTGCAGAGGCCCTGGCTGCGGGAACTGATATCAGGGAGTTCTCTGTTGGGGTGAGTCTGTGTGTTGCGCGAGGCTGCCTTGTTTTGTTATTTAGAAGTTCATTCCTATGGGCTGATTTGTCCTGTTCCTGTTGATGTCAGAATTTGTGATCGTAGTTCTGAGCTCAGAGAATATGTTTTAAGTTGGAAGAGTCTTTCCAATAAATAACAATTCTGCGATTTTTCCTTTACTTCACTTTAAACTTACTAGATTTCATGATATGCATACATGAGTGTATGTATGTTTTTAAGCACAGAGCCATTGCTTTTGTAAGTTTTTAAAAGGTAGATAGTGTTTGACTTGTTTGTAAAGCAAAGAAAAATATTTGCTTCTAGAAATTTAAGCTACTTAGTGAGTTAGAGGCTTATGTTTTCTTGATATATTTCCAGTATAAGTCCAAGTTAATTAATTTATATATTACATACTTTTGATTGTTGTGTAGTTTTAAAATTTTTTATAAAATGATGAATGTATTTGATGTTTCAGTTAGAAAAAAGGTTCTCTGTTGAAATTACGAAGATTTAAAAATGCATAATAAAGGTACCATGAATTATAGTTTGCCAATTGAACTATCACATAAAGGACCAGGAAAAGAAAATAAGCTATTACTTGTTAAGTGGGAGGTTGGGAAAAAATGGGAGGAAATGTGGAAAATGGAGACATCATAATGTTAATTATTAAAATTATTCATAACTTTCCACTAGAGCATTTTATGATTTATTCATATGATTATTAATTTTTGTGGTTTTCTTAATAAGTTACTTTTCCTTAATAACAATTGCTTTCCTAGGGCATGGATTTCAGTCTTTTTAAAGAGGTCTTTGAGTCTTCCAAAATGGATTTCATTTTGTCTCATGCCATGTACTGCAGGGATGTTCTAAAGCTGAAGAAAGGACAGAGGGCAGTGATCAGCAATGGAAGGGTGAGGATTTTGTCCTGAGACAACGTTGCCTTCAAATTAGATTAGTGAACAGTCTTGGCAGCATTCTTCTCTGAAGATAGTAAACTCTTCAACAGAGCTACTTTTTCTAAAGGTGATTAGGGCTTAGGCAGTGCTGATGATCATTGCTGCTCCCTTGTTTCAAAGGAAGTTTGCTCATTTGGACGAAAATGTCCTTATGTGAAACCTTCCTCCTGTTTAGTTTTGCCTTGCGATTGTGTAAGATGGTGAGAGTGTGGTTGCTCTCAGAACATAAATTCCTAAGACCTTTGATACATAAAGTGTTTGTCCCATGTGTGGATTATGTTTATGGTTTGTACAGTTTATATGAACTTAATTGGTTTATGCTGAGAATACTTCATAAGTATCTGCAGACGTGAAAATGAGACTAGGCAGATATACTAAACTTGAAACTCTTAGCACTTAGGGTGAAATCTCTGGTATCTACCACTGCATTTCTATTTTGGCTTTTTTATTATATTCAGTGAGAATTAATGAAAATGATATTGCAGTTTTATTTCAGAGTTTGCTTACTGTAAAAATAGTGTGAAATACTCAAGTCTACACTCTGTTGAGTGTAGAGGAATTGATAAATGGATAGCCATATGAGTTAATTTGGCTTTTATTTTCACTTTTTTCATTGATTTAACTTAGACATAAACACGTTTTGAGTTTGTAAAGTGATTTGGTTTGTAAGGTAGCCTGAGAACAACCGAGGGCTTCTCTGTAGCCCGCTGATTCCATCACTGACTACCCTCCTCTCTTTCACAGATCATTGGGCCACTGGAGGACAGTGAATTCTTTAATCAAGATGATTTCCACCTCCTGGAAAATATCATCTTAAAAACTTCAGGACAGAAAATCAAATCTCATATTCAGCAGCTTCGGGTAGAAGAAGATGTGTAAGTTTTGCCATGGAAGAAGTTAATCAGTCAAGTCACAGGGGCAATGTTAATTGGACCTTTTTCATGCTTTAAAAAAAAAATGTTAAACATCTATTCCAAGATGTTTTATCTCTAGCTTTAAAATATAATAATTGTCTTCATTTCAGGTTTACTTATTTTTGCTTCTATTGAAATGAGTTAATTTTGCAGCAAGCTGTTTTAAGAACTGAATTAGTTCTCTCCATTTTGATTTTTTTAAAGTTTTTGATTGTGGAAAATTTCAAACATATGCAAAAGTAGAGGGGTGATTTTATTTCTTTGGAATACTTTGGAAAGACATACTTTTCTTCATTGTCTCTTTCATTACCCTTCAGTTTTGTTTTCAGGGAAAAAAAGGCAAATTAAATATTTCTTTTTCTTTATTTACTAATTATTGAATAATGAGTTTTTGTTATATAGTCCAAAGGTGATGGTGATGAGTTGATTATTATTGGTTCTTTATCATTATTTTAATCCTTTTCAGTGTCATTGCTAGCTTATGTATTTTAATAAGTTATTTCTCAAAGGAAGAAAAGTGATTATTTGATTGGTCTATGTACCTGCTGTGTAACTGGAGCTCATATTCATATTCACATGGTTTTTGCATTAAATATCAAGTGGATGTGTAATTGGAGGATGTATGTTTATGTTTAATGTTCATGAACCATGACACCTTTTTCCACAGAGGCTATCCCATTTTACTTTCCCATAAGTAATGCATAAGGGTTCTGATTTCTTCACGTCCTCATCAACATTTGTTATTTTTAATTTTTTTTATAATACCCATTCTAAATGGGTGTGGTATCTCCTTGTGGGTTGATTCATACTCCCCTGATAATTAGCGATCTTGAACATCTTTTCATGTGCTTAATAGACCATTTGTCTATCTGGGAAAACATCTGTCCAAGTCCTTTGCTCATTTTTAATTATTTATTTTGTTGTTGAATTGTAGGAATTCATTTATATTCTGAATATCAATCCCGTATGGCTGTGTGATATGCAGATGTTTTTTCACCACTCCATGGATTGACTTTTCACACACTTGATAGTGTTCTTTGATGCACAGTTTGAGGATATAGAATTTTTAAAGTTTTTCTGTTTTTTCTTTTCTTCATCTATTTCATATAGCATGATGTTTCAGAGTTCAAGGTGCATGTCTTAGTGTTGACTTTGATAGCTACCAAAGTAGCCTCTTTACCAAGTTTTATGTGATATGAGAAGGAGTCTTTTTTTCATTTTAGCCAAACTGGGGTCACAGATAAAGAGGTTTTGTTCTACCTCATTTAGTGCTCCTTGTTTTAGCCTATGAACCACCTCAGGTACAGGCCAGGAGCTAATCTATGACTTGAAGCCACTGTGTCACAGGCATAGGCTTGATGTGTTCCTTGGACTGCTCCCTCTCTGTCTCTGGAGCCTGTGGAGGAGTCCCTTGGAGTCCTTGTGGACTATATAATTGCCAGACTATGCACAAAAGACTTGTCTTTAAGCAACTAGAGATGTACTGGGTGGGTACTGGGTGGATATAGACAAATAAGGTAGCTTTGGGCTTCCCTGGTAGCTCAGTTGATAAAAGAATCCGCCTGCAATGCAGGAGACCCTGGTTCGATTCCTGGGCTGGAAGATCCACTGGAGAAGGGATAGGCTACCTGTTCCAATATTCTTGGACTTTCCTTGTGGCTCAGCTGATAAAGAATCCACCTGCGATGTGGGAGAGCTGGGTTCGATCCCTGGGTTGGGAAGATTACCTGGAGAAGGGAAAGGGTACCCACTCCAGTATTCTTGTCTAGAGAATTCCATAGACTGTATAGCCCATGGGTTGGCAAAGAGTTGGACACAACTGAGCAACTTTCCCTTTCCCTTTCCCTTTCACCTTCAAGGTAGTTATGGGGCTGCTGAAAGATTGGTGCTAAAACTTTTAGAGTTTTCAGAGTGACCTTGCTTGCCTAGGGTTTTCCTTAGTGCCAGGACTGTTCCACCTTGGAGTGGCCCCTTGTGACAGCCACAGCTTTCATGCCTGACCCAGACCTGCAGCTAAGAGGCCATCCTCAGCTTCCTAAACCTCAGTTGTGACCTCTTTGATCAAAGGGCTCATCCCAGGCCACGTTAGTGTCCCTTGACATATTTTGTGACAATGTTGACACATCATAGGGAACAGATGACCTACTTTATTTTGTTTTCAGAGTTAGTAGTGAGAAGTGCCAAGGGGTATAATTTGATATAGTTGTTTGGTTCAGTGAGAGAATGGATGGTCTAGTTCAAATATTTTCACAAATATACTCAAATATATTTTAGCATTCTTAGAATTCAATCCTTGGTTCAGCAGACTAGAGCATTTTTTTTCAGTCTCATGATTTAGTGCAAAATCTTCCTTGGTTAGAAATCAAGTTAGGAGGGGTGGGGAACGTGGAAATGCTTTTCTAAGTTGTTTAATGTTGATTGTAATAGTGTAATAGATAATGATGTATCCATAAATATAATACTATGCAGTTATTGAAAATATTGATGTACCCCAACAAAATAATGTTTGTAGTATATCATTAAATGAAAAATCAGGTTACCAAATAATATAGTACCATTTTGTGTATATAGATATATATATATATTTTATAATATGGGAGAATTATGAAATGTTTTCAACACTTATTTCTTAAATATGCTATTAATGTGTGTATCTCCATTTTTTCCTTATATATTTTTTTCCTGAATTTTCTTTTTTTTTGTAAATTGTTACTCTAATGATCACAAAAAGTAATAAAGTTATTTAGAAGAGGGTGAGGGATACATAAATGGCACTGGCAGCCTGCCCTGGGCCAGGCTCTGAGCTAGATGCTTTATTTTGTGTGTTTAGCCAGTGCTCGTTTTACAAGAGCCTCTCCAAGTAGGTGTTACCTCCGTTTCACATATGGAAAAAGCAACACTTCCGGGCTATAAAACTAATCAGTGGCACAGGTCTGTAGTTTTTTTTCTCATGCCTATTGGTACAAAGTTTATTTCTCCAAATCATGTTGTTGGCATTCAGTACTTAGGTTGATTGTAATAGCTGGGAAACCTTCAGTCAGAGAGATGCTAAATTTTCACCAACCACATCTTTCAGGGCCAGTGACTTGGTAATGAAGGTGGACGCTCTCCTGTCAGCTCAACCAAAAGGAGATGCAAGAATTGAATACCAGTTTTTCGAAGACAGACACAGGTATAGAATCAGTGTTGAATTTATGCATATTTTTATTTTCCTCAGCTCCTTTATTCTTCCATTTAAAGTGTATTTGTAAGCGTGACATGTGGTTTTCATATATGTTTATATTCACATGTAGAACTCATAACAGAGCTCAGTTGCATAAAAGTTGACATTTATTTCTAAATCAACATAAAGTAGTTCTGAATACACCCTTTGAGGAAACAGAGCATTTAACAAAGCAGATCAGCTTAATTCTATTATAGTAAAGAATAAACAGTTGTTAGACCACTTGTCTCTCCATCATTTTTTGAAACCTGTCTTGTTTTCAATAAAATAAAAATAAGTGTAGCATATTAAAGGAGTCTTTTGTTGTCTGTCCTTTTGTCTCTTGTTTTCCAGTTTTTTATTTTGAAAAGTTTGAAACTTGGAGGATAGTTGAAAGACTATTACAGTGAACACCCAAATATCTTTAACCTAGATTTACCAATTGTTGATGTTGTGCCACATTTATCTATATATGTGTGTATATGTAGTATATGTTTGCATACAAACTTAACATGCATTCACATTTTTGGCAACCATTTGAAAGTATGTTGTTCAGTTCAGTCACTCAGTCACGTTCGACTCTTTGTGACCCCATGGACAGCAATACGCCAGGCCTCCCAGTCCATCACCAACTCCCAGAGTTTACCCAAACTCATATGCATTGAGTCAGTGATGCCATCCAACCATCTCATCCTCTGTTGTCCCCTTCTCCTCCCATCCTCAATCTTCCCCAGCATCAGGGTCTTTTCAAATGAGTCAGCTCTTCACATCAGGTGGCGGCCAAAGTATTGGAGTTTCAGCTTCAACATAAGTCCTTCTAATGAACACTCAGGACTGATCTCCTTTAGGATGGACTGGTTGGATCTCCTTGCAGTCCAAGGAACTCTCAAGAGTCTTCTCCAACACCACAGTTCAAAAGCATCAATTCTTCGGCACTCAGCTTTCTTTATAGTCCAACTCTCACATCCATACATGACTACTGGAAAAACCATAGCTTTGACTAGATGGACCTTTGTTAACAAAGTAATGTCTCTGCTTTTTAATAAGCTGTCTAGGTTGGTTATAACTTAACTTCCAAGGAGTAAGCGTCTTTTAGTTTCATGGCTTCAGTCACCATCTGCAGTGATTTTGGAGCCCCCAAAAATAAAGTCTGACACTGTTTCCATTGTTTCCCCATCTATTTCCCATGAAGTGATGGGACTGGATGCCATGACCTTAGTTTTCTGAATGTTGGGCTTTAAGCCAACTTTTTCACTCTCGTCTTTCACTTTCATCAAGGGGTTCTTTAGTATTTCTTCACTCTCTGCCATAAGGGTGGTGTCATCTGCATATCTGAGGTTGTTGATATTTCTCCCAGCAGTCTTGATTCCAGCTTGTGCTTGTGGACATCGTTATATATCATGCATAAATTCTTTGACATCTGTCTCCTAAGTACTGGCAGTATCTCCAGCAATTTAAATTGCTGGCATACCTCAGCAATTTAACCTTGATAAAGCAATATTATGTAATATCAGTCCACTTTCAGATTTCTCTGAAGCCCAATAATGACCTTTTACAACTGTTTGTTGTTCTGGCCCAGCTTACACATTGCAGTTAGTTATTGTGTCTCTTTAGTCTCTTCTAAGGTAGAACAGTTTGAGTTTTCTTTTGTTTATTTGTTTTTTTAGTCTTTCATGACATTGACTCTTAGGAGTCCAGACCAGTTGTCTTGTGAAAAGTCCCACAATCCGGGTTGTTTTCTCATGATTAGATTTAAGAGTAACTTGTCTTTAGGAAGAACTCCTACAGTTGATGTATGCAGCACTTACTTTACTAGTCAAGTGTATATCTTTTTGCACCTCAGAGTCACCACAGAGGCTTTAGATGCAGAAGCCTGCATACTACTCTTCTATGATTTTGATTTAATTAGTTTAGAGTAGATTGGACTTTGGTTTAATTGACCTGTGCTTTCTCACAGTCAGTCCTTGTGGGGATAAAATTTGAACAGACTATTTGCCATAAAATATTTGTTTAATTATGACCCTCACGTCTAGGAGTACATTAATTCTCAAGAAATTTCCAAGTGTGGTAAAAACTGGTTGTGAGAAGTTCTTTATAGCTTGAAAGCCATCTAAATGTCTAGCAATAAGGAATAGCTTAAGTAAACTACAGCAGGTTCACTTGGCAAATTGAAGATTATTTCTTTTTCAGGATATTAATGTATAACAACATGGAAAAATCTTTATAATAATTACAATTTCTTGGGGAAGGAATGAAGTCATTAAAAGGTTGCTGATATCTTGTAGGTGCATCTGGTCTTTATATAGGCATATAAGGAGGAGGGATGGTGAGATTTTATGATTATTTCCTTTTTCTCTCTTTTGCAAATTTCTTGTAATATTCTTATATTTCTTTTACAATTTGAAAGCATCAATTTCTTCTCTCCTTACAGCCTTCTTGCCAAGAAATAAAAATTGGCATAATGTTCCTTAACTGTTAAAAACAAGCATCAGAAACTTTTAGAGGGTTTTGCAAACTTTGAGGTAGACATAATCACATAGTTGACCACCATGTCACCTTATTGTTTGAGATCTAAAGTTTTTTGGAAAATGCTAAGAGAGTTGATTAGTTGTATTGGGTATGTTGTCTTCCTGCCCCCACTCTGCCAAGAAATCAACTGTTTCCTGTTTTCCTCCAGATTAATGTTTTATCTTTTTGTTCTCTGTAGTGCAATTAAACTGAAACCCAAGGAAGGGGAGACGTACTTTGATGTCGTGGCTGTCATTGACCCTGTCACCCGAGAAGCACAGAGACTCGCCCCATTGCTTTTGGTAGGTACAGCTGCAGAGGCAGTGCCCATGTTTTGTCCCCGTGATAGGTAAGTGTGATTCTGATTGTGTCCTAGAGCTGTGATTTCTAGAGATTTACCCAGTGCAGACTTTATAGTATTTATTATCTTTGTGTTTTTTCTTGAGATACACTTTTCTAAAGAGAAAACGTAAACATTTTGTCTCAAGTATCAGTCACTTTGTAGGAAAAATTTTTGTTTTGTCATCTGATTTCCTCTTTTAGGTTTTAACTCAGCTGATCAACATGAATCTAAGAGTATTCATGAACTGCCAATCTAAACTTTCCGACATGCCGTTAAAAAGGTAAAACCAACTGGTGAAGAAATCAACCCCTGGAAAAAATTGCACTCAGTCTGAAAGCTGAAATTGAATGTAAAAGATCATATGGATTTATATATGGACATCATGTTTGGGAAAAAAATCACTTACTGAAGTTTTGCTAAATTTCTAACAACTAATCAAGAGGTTGAAGAACTTAGTATGAGTGTGGGAGCTGGGGGTACAAGCATTTCCCCTCCCCACAAAATGCAGGAAGGAATGACCTCCCCTCCCAACCCCACCTCCTGTGTTCTCCTTCCATCTTCAGCAACCACAGGACATATAGTTAGGGCAAGAGATGGTTTTGGAAACACTTTCTCACTGTGGAAGGAAGGTCTTCCAAATCTAGTTTTTCTTAAGTCAGTTGTTTACCTGTGTAGATGTGTATAAACTCAAAGGTTGTGGTTGCATTAAAGAAAAAAAAGTTAACATCTTTTCTTTTCCATTTCAGCTTTTACCGTTATGTCTTGGAACCAGAGATTTCTTTTACTTCAGACAATAGTTTTACTAAGGGTCCAATAGCAAAGTTTTTGGATATGCCACAGTCTCCTCTGTTCACTCTGAACTTGAACACACCTGAGAGTTGGATGGTAGAGTCTGTCAAAACACCATATGACCTTGATAATATTTATTTAGAAGAGGTAAGAGTATCATTGCTTCCCAATATCTAATCCCACATAACCCTGTTGAAGATGTTGTTATGGTAGTCTCTGATAATCTCCCTACAGTCTAGGGGTGCTTCTGAAACAGTAGTGTTCAAATAACAGCCTCATTGAGATCTATATCACATACCATAAAATTCACCCTTTTAAAGTATACAGCCGAGTAGTTTTAGTATATTCACAGAGTTGTGCAGCCATCACCACTATCTAACTTTAGATAATTTTCAACACCCCTAAAACCAACTCCATTCAGTTCAGTTCAGTCACTCAGTCGTGTCCAGCTCAGCGACCCTGTGGACAGCAGCACACCAAGCCTCCCTGTCCGTCACCAACTCCCAGAGTTTACTCAAACTCATGTCCATTGAGTTGATGATGCCATCCAGCCATCTCATCCTCTGTTGTCCCCTTCTCTTCCCGCCTTCAGTCTTTCCCAGCATCAGGGTCTTTTCCAATGAGTCAGCTCTTCGCATCTGGCAGCCAAAGTATTGGAGCTTCAGCTTCAGCATCAGTCCTTCCAGTGAACACCCAGGACTGATCTCCTTTAGGATGGAGTGGTTGGATCTCCTTGCAGTCGAAGGGACTCTCAAGAGTCTGCTCCAACACCACAATTCAAAAGCATCAATTGTTCGGTGCTCAGCTTTCTTTATAGTCTTAACTCTCACATCCATGCATGACCACTGGAAGAACCACAGCCTTGACTAGACTAACTCCATAGCCATGAGTAATCACCCCCAATTCCTCTTGCTCTCTGATAACCACTAATCTATTTTCTGTCACTTTTTGTGACTGGCTTCTTTCACTTAAATTATTTTCAAGGTTCATTCATATTTTGACATTTATTAGTACTTTATTCCTTTTTATTACCAGATAGTATTCCATTGTATGGATATACTACATTTTATTTATCATTTTTTATATCCACTGTGTGGCTGTATCACTTACAGACATTTGGGTTATTTTTGCTTTTTGACCGTTATGAATAATGGTGCTGTGAGCATTTGTACATAAGTTTTTATAGAGAGACTTTTCTTTCTCTTGGGTATATACATAGGAGTGGGATTGCTGGATCATATGGTAATTTTATGTTTAACGTTTCAAGGGATTGCCAAACTGCTTTCCAGACTGATTTGCCCTAATAACAAATGACATTGGGCATTTTTTCATGTGTTTATTGGCCATTTGTGTGTCTCCTTTGGAGAAATGTTTACTCAAATCCTTTGCTTTATTCAAATCCTTTAAAAATTGACTCGTCTTTTAATTGTTGAATTGTAAGAGTTCTTTTTATATTCTGGATACAAGTCCCTTACCACATATATGCCTCACATATGTTTTTTCCCATTTTATAGGTTGTCTTTTCACTTTTTTGATGGTGTCCTTTGAAGCATAGAAGTTTCTAATCTTCATAAAGTCTAATTTTCCTATTTTTTCTTTTGTGACATATACTTCTGGAGTTATATCTAAGAAACCATTGTTTAGTCCCAGGTTACAAGGGTTTACTCCAGTGTTTTCTTTTAGAACTTTAATAATTTAAAACTCTTACATTTTTGAAAACTCTTACTTCCTTGATACATTTGGAGTTAATTCTTTGTATATGGTGCCAGGTAGAGTTCCAGCTTTGTTTTTCATATGTGGCTATACAGTTGTCCAAGCACCATTTGTTTTAAAAACCTATTCTTTCCCCATTAAATGGTCTTTGTGCCTTTGTCAGAAATCAGTTAACCCTAATGTGAAGGTTTAATTTTGGGCTGTCAGTTCTATTCCATTGATATACATGTCTGTTCTTAGGCTAGTACCACATTGTCTTGTTTACTGAAGCTTTGTAGTAAGTTTTCAAATTAGGAAGTGTGAATTTTCCAGTTGTGTTTTTTTTTTTCAAGGTAGCTATGGCTATTCTGGGTTCTTTGCATTTTGGAATCAGCTTATTAATATCTTCAGAAAAAGCTACTGTGATTTTAATAAGAATTTCATGAAATCCCTAAATCAGTTTAGACAGTATTGCCTTCTTAACAGTATTAAGTGTTCTGAACCATGAATATGGGATGTCTTTCCGATTATATAGGTCTTTAATTTCTTTCAACAATGTTTTGTAGTTCTTAGTATACAAGCCTACACAAGACCATGTCATCTGCAAATAGAGTTTTACTTCTTTCTTTCCAGTATGATGCCTTTTATGTAATTTTCTTAATGCATTGGAAAAATTTTAAATTGCAGATTCAATCTCTTGCTGTAGGTCTGTTTAGATTTTCTATTTTTTCTTGAGTCAGTTTTCAAAGTTTGTGTATCTTAGGAATTTATCCATTTTATCTAGATTATCTAATTTGTTGACATACAGTTTTTCATAGAATTTTCTAAAATTTAAATTTAACAGCCATGTTTCCTTTATTCTTGCTTATTTCAGTAAGTTGGCTCTTCTGTTTTTCTCTTGGTCAGTCTAGCTAAAAGTTTGTCCATTTGTTGATATTTGTGAAAAATAAGTCTTTGGCTTCATTGCCTTTTTTTTTTCTTTTCTTTCCATATAACTGTATTTGGAGTCCCTAAGGTAGTTGGTTCTTTCCCCCTAACCCATTTTCAAAAATAGTTCAATTTCATTTAATTATGTCTCCTACCAGCCCTTACTCTATATCTAGCTTAGAGTGTATTAACAAAGGAACTGAAAGACATGGTCTTTACCTCCAGGGAGTTTATAGTGCCTCAGAGCCTCCTTCCTTTTTAAAACATTTGTCATTGTGTCTGCCCTTAATATCTCCTATCACAGTTGAACCCTGTTTTCTGGTTCTGTCTTCTTGGGAATAGGGAGGCTGGAAACTTGAGCATAGTTACTGAAGGACTTTGCAGACTTCTTTTCATGAGGTTGAATAACTAGTTTCTTGAAGAAGAATCCCGGGGCTCACTTCAGCGGCACATACACTAAAACTGGAAGAAGAATCCTTTAGGTACTAAACTGACTGAAGAAGAAAGAGAATGTGTGTGTGTGTGTGTGTTTGTGTGTACACATAGGTACACACTTGCCCTTTCCCAATCCTATCCACCATATTTTTAACAGAGAATACAGTTTTTGCCCTTGAGGAACTAACTTCTGTTGAAGAAATTATAGAATGGCCACAAAAAAGCACTAAGGAACATTGCACAGAAGTACAGAATCGAGTGCAAAGCAGGTTTCTTCTGTATATCCTGGAGTTTTTACTGCTCTGTTTTAGGCTTCCTCCAGTTTCTCCTTATTCCATTGAAAATACAGAGCCTGAGACTTGTGAGCATGTGGGGGTTTCACTCTTAGCTCTTAATGTTATACTTTTGGAATTTACTATTACACTAACATATTAAGCTCCAAATATTTCCATTATTAGCATTAGATAAGGCTATAAAACCAAGCCTGAACTAACCTGAGATTGAAACTCTTTAATTATTAGGTTGGTGGAAGTGTAGTTATGATTTTGAGCCATGAATTTTAAACCATTATAACGAGGCTTAAACACATCTTTATTAATCAGGATAAAAACCATTACAATTAACATGCTTTTGCCAATGAGAAATAAGTTTGTTTAATCTTGTAGTATGAAAATTCGTGGTTTGAGATTTGATGAACTCCTGGAGAGCATTTTCTGCCTCCTGCTGGTTGTGGAAACATTTTCCTTGCATAAATCTGTCAATATGCTTGCAAAGTGGTAGTTGGTTGTCAAGAGATCAAGTGAATTTGGTAGATGAGGCAAAACCTTATAACCCAATTCACTCAACTTTTGAAACATTGTTGGGTGGTGTTGTAAAGAATTAGGCCCTTTCTGTTGACCAGTGCTGGCTGCAGACATTGTAGTTTTCAGTGTTCAGTTCAGTCGCTCAGTCCTGTCTGACACTTTGTGACCCCATGAACTGCAGCACGCCAGGCCTCACTGTTCATCGACCAACTCCCGGAGATTACCCAAATTCATGTCCATTGAGTCGGTGATGCCATCCAACCATCTCATCCTCTGTCATCCCCTTCTCCTCCCGCCCTCAATCTTTCCCAGCATCAGGGTCTTTTCAAATGACTCAGCTCTTCGCATCAGGTGGCCAAAGGATTGGAGTTTCAGCTTCAACATCAGTCCTTCCAGTGAACACCCAGGACTCCTTTAGGATAGACTGGTTGGATCTCCTTGCAGTCTAAGGGACGCTCAAGAGTCCTCCTCAACACCGCAGTTCAAAAGCATCAATTCTTTGGCACTCAGCTTTCTTTATGGTCCAACTCTCACATCCATACATGACTATTGGAAAAACCATAGCCTTGACTAGATGGACCTTTGTTGACAAAGTAATGTCTCTGCTTTTTAATAAGCTGTCTAAGTTGGTTATAACTTTTCTTCCAAGGAGTAAGTGACTTTTAATTTCATGGCTGCAGTCACCATCTGCAGTGATTTGGGAGCCCAAAATAATAAAGTCAGCCACTGTTTCCCCATCTATTTGCCATGAAGTGATGGGACTGGATGCCATGATCTTAGTTTTCTGAATGTTGAGCTTTAAGCCAACTTTTTCACTCCTCTTTCACTTTCATCAAGAGGCTTTTTAGTTCATCTTCACTCTCTGCCATAAGGGTGGTGTCATCTGCATATCTGAAGTTATTGGTATTTCTCCCGGCATTCTTGGTTCCAGCTTGTGCTTCCTCCAGCCCAGCGTTTCTCNTTATCTGGGTCATGAAGATCTTTTTTGTATAGTTCTTCTGTGTATTCTTGCCACCTCTTCTTAATATCTTCTGCTTTTCTTAGGTCCATACCATTTCTGTCCTTTATTGTGCCCATCTTTGCATGAAACTTTCCCTTGGTATCTCTAATTTTCTTGAAGAGATCTTTAGTTTTTTCCATTCTATTGTTTTCCTCTATTTCTTTGCATTGATCACTGAGGAAGGCTTTCTTATCTCTTTGCTGTTCTTTGGAACTCTGCATTCAAATGGGTATATCTTTCCTCTTCTCCTTTGCTTTTCACTTGTCTTCTTTTCTCAGCTATTTGCAAGGCCTCCTCTGATAGCCATTTTGCTTTTTTGCATTTCTTTTTTCTTGGGGATGGTCTTCATCCCTGTCTCCTGTACAATGTCATGAACCTCCGTCCATAGTTCATCAGGCACTCTGTCAGATCTAGTCCCTTAAATCTATTTCTCACTTCCACTGTATAATCATGAGGGATTTGATTTAGGTCATACCTGAATGGTCTAGTGGTTTTCCCCACTTTCTTCAGTTTAAGTCTGAATTTGGCAATAAGGAGTTCATAATCTGAGCCACAGTCAGCTCCCGGTCTTGTTTTTGCTGATTGTATACAGCTTCTCCATCTTTGGCTGGAAAGAATATAATCAGTCTGATTTCGGTGTTCACCATCTGGTGATGTCCATGTGTAGAGTCTTCTCTTGTGTTGTTGGATGAGGTGTTTGCTGTGACCAGTGCATTCTCTTGGCAAGATTCTATTAGCCTTTGCCCTGCTTCATTCTGTACTCCAAGGCCAAATTTGCCTGTTATTTCAGGTGTTTCCTGACTTCCTTCTTTTGCATTCCAGTCCCCTGTAATGAAAAGGACATCTTTTTGGGGTGTTAGTTCTAAAAGGTCTTGTAGGTCTTCATAGAATTGTTCAACTTAAGCTTCTTCAGTGTTACTGGTCTGAGCATAGACTTGGATTACTGTGATATTGAATGATTTGCCTTGGAAATGAACAGAGATCATTCTTTCATTTTTTAAGATTGCATCCAAGTACTGCATTTCGATCTCTTTTGTTGACTATGATGGCTACTCCATTTCTTCTAAGGGATTCCTGCCTACAGTAGTAGATATCATGGTCATGTGAGTTAAATTCACCCATTCCAGTCCATCCAAGTTCACTGATTCCTAGAATGTCAGCATTCACTCTTACCATTTCCTGTTTGACCGCTGCCAATTTGCCTTGATTCATGGACCTGACATTCCAGGTTCCTATGCAATATTGCTCTTTACAGCCTCGGACCTTGCTTCTATCACCAGTCACATTCATACCAGTTTTCAGTGTATCTCATCGATTTGCAGAGCATATTTCTCAGATATATTGTTTTTGCCACGATTTATATAGCTGTAGTGGGTCAGACTAGTAGCAGACCACCAAACAGTAATCATGACCATTTCTGGTGCAAGTTTGGCTTTGGGCAGTACTTTGGAGATTCTTCTCAGTCCAGTCACTGAGCTAGTCATCGCCAGTTGTCATATACAATCCACTTTGTTGCATGCCACAACCCGATCGATAAATAGTTTGTTGTTGTTGTATAGAATGAGAGAAGATGACACTTCAAAATGATGTTTTTTGATTTGCAGTCATGAGGTACCCACATACCAAGCTTTTTCACCTTTCCAATCTTCTTCAAATGCCTAACGACCGTAGAATAGTCGACATTGAGCTCTTTGACAACTTCTCATTGTTTGTAAGAGGATCAGCTTCTGCGGTGGCTCTCATTTGGTCGTTGTCAACTTCCAATGGCTGGCCACTAGGCTCCTCATCTTCAAGTCTCTTGTCTCCTTTGTAAAACTTGTTGAACCACCACTGAACTGTATGTTCGTTAGCAGTTCCTGGGCCAAATGTGTTGTTGATATTATGAGTTGTCTCCACTGCTTTACAACCCATTTTGAACTCAAATAAGAAAATTGCTTGAATTTGCTTTTTGTCTAACATCATTTCCCTGATCTAAAATAAATATAAAATAAATAGGAAGTAATAAGTCATTAGCAAAAAAATAAGGTCAGAAATGCACATTAAAATAATGTATAATGTAACCACATTTATTTAGAATATATTCTAATATCAAATAACAAATTTCAGCAATGCAGAATTGCAATTACTTTTGTGCCAACCTAATAGCTAAAGCCAAGCTGCCCTAAGATTTTGTAATTATACCATATTTTCTGCAAGGAATTAGCAATAATTCAGGCAGTTGGTTTTATGCGACTATGGAACCATTAAATATATCTTGGATATTTGCATTTAAAACAGCAGTATTTTCAGCTGTCTTCTAAAGGCCAAGATGAATTCGCATTTTTGTCAGATGTTTTTCTGATGTTTTGCATTGTTTCTTTTTCTCATATAAATTGATCCTTATAGGAGTGTCTTACCTATCTTCTCCATTATTTGCTTTTAAAGATATTCATTCTTTCAGAAATTTTATTTTCTTTGATTTTTTTCCCAATACTACCTAACTAGATTAACATCTTATCCTCTCCTGTGTACTTCTGGAATAACCTCCTTACTGTTTTTCTGTGTCCTTTTTCCTGCCTGTCCTTCCAACCCACCCGAGTTTCTAAAATTGTGTATGCTTGTTAACTACCAGCACAATCAAGATACCAGAGCATTTCCATCTCTTCAAAAGGTTCTCTTATGCCCCTTTGCAGGTAATCCCCTCCTCTCCCCCCAGGCCACAGGAAGCAGCTGATCCTCTTTTGTTCACTATAGTTTTACCTTTTCTTGAATTTTTTATGAATTTGATTATATGATATATAGCCCTTTATGTCTGATTTCGTTCACTTTGTGTAGTGCATTTGGGATTCATCTGTGTTGTTGCATGTATCACTAGATTGTTTCTTTTTATTGTTGAGTAGTCTTCAGGTGGTGATTTAATTTTGATATTGCAGGTGGACAGCATCGTGGCTGCTGAGTATGAGCTGGAGTACCTGTTACTAGAAGGTCATTGCTATGACATCACTACTGGCCAGCCCCCCCGGGGACTGCAGTTTACATTAGGAACTTCAGCCAAGCCAGTCATTGTGGATACCATTGTTATGGCTAATCTGGTAAATAACAGTACATCAGGTGGTGATACTGAGTCACGTTAATTTGGGCCCTGCAGTTTATGATGGAGCAGTTAGCACTCTGAACATGAGTGAGATTAAAGTTCATGATGGACCGAATTTGGTCAATATAAAAATCATCAGTTTAGTTAAACTTGTAGATTGGAATCACATGGCATCTTAAAAGAAAACATACTAGAAAATTTTGCTTTAATCAGATTGGTTCCTGAAAATGTGTTGCTTATGAGCCAATAGCCTTCTTTTTTTTGTTTTTTTGAAAATTTGAAGTATATTCACACATTACATACTGCTTCTTCACTGAAGTACAGCTAAAGGACAGGCTTCTTGGCTTGACAGGCCTGTATTTTGCTAGTGTTTCTAATATGTGGGTTTTAAGAATTGCATTGGTTTAACTATCTTATTTAAAATAAAGTGGACTGACATTTCAAAAAAGAAATAGCTGTCCCTCAGAAACAGCATTTTGATGTTTCCAAGAGAACTAAAATTTGTCTTGTCTTCTGGTCCTAGGGCTATTTTCAGTTAAAAGCCAACCCAGGAGCTTGGATTCTCAGACTAAGAAAGGGACGTTCTGAAGATATTTACAGAATCTACAGGTAGGATTAAATGATACAGGTGCATTTTTTCCAGAACATTCTGCAGTATGAATCAGCTTGAATTGAATAGTACACTGGCAGTTAGGCAATTAGAATTTACTTTATAATTGTATGTGCTTTTCCAGAAAATGAAATGTGGAAGAATTGTTGGGGTATAATTGAACAGTAAGCAGTATAAATACAATATATGTAATCAAGTTTGGCTTCAGTCATTCTTTTGTGCTAGTTATCCAGAACCAAATCATTCTGTCAACTGTGATGAAAACCATAGGCAGATGAGAAAGTGAGTCATTTTTAGGAAGGAGAAAAGAAATGAAGAACAGTTCAGACTTTTCAACCCAGGATAGTATATTTCTCTACCCTGAGTGGGTTGCAGATTGACCAGACTTGTAGGCTTTGGTCTTGGAACCTTGGTGCGAGCACTTGTCTTTCTAGGTCTGAGAAAGTATGGAAGTGCTCCCAGCATGTTTCATCAATAGCCTGCTTTTTTGCTTTAAGGTTTGCTACAAGTGACTGTTGGCTTAAAAAAATTATACTGCCTTCTAAAAAGCTGTGGTTTAAATTCTGTTTAACACAGTTTAAATTAGTCTTAAGCTATGTGAGAAGACTTCACACCAGTTCATTTTGGGAATGATTTCCATTAGTTATTTGAAAACAACATCATGTTGTGTCCTCATCTTAGATTTATAGAATCTTATCTGACACGCATGAAAGCAATGTGAATTTTTGCATATTTCTTACCAAGAAAATAGAAGATTTTTGTATTATATCTTGCATTGTACATAGTAGGGTTTCCTCCAATAAATGTTTTCCTCAAATATGGTTTTAAAGAATTTTAGTACTATCATTAAGAGCTTATCTGTTGACTTTCTAAACCCTGTCCCATCTGCATGCACTTTTCCTAGCCACTCTTCCCTCTAGGGTGTGTGGGCCTCTTCTCTGCCTAGCAGTTGAGCACTCTCTTCCTTCCGTGCTTCTTGGGCTCAGGAATGTTTCATGCTCCCTATCAGAATCTCACCTTTGCCCACAGACTCTGCTCTCTGTTGGATGACAGTGAATTCAGTGAATTCATATTTTATCATGGCTTTATATAGTTAGCATCTTAAAAATTGGTGACTGGAAATTTTAGATATTATCATTGATTAGGAAGGAAATACTCTATTTAAATTTTCTTCCTCTGCTCTGTCTGCTTGCAAACAGAGCTTGTTTTAGTTCTTCCTGCAGAGTATGGACGCTAGATTGAGTACATGGCCTGGACTTGGCTCTGTGCCTCCAGGAAGGACAGAGTCGAAGCCTTTACAAAACTCTGAAGTAGAGCTGTGTCTCGCTATGCGTAAAGTAATGCGTGCATGTGCACTCAGTCATGTCCGACTCTTTGTGACCCAGTGGACTGTAGCCTGCCAGGCCCCTGCGTACACGGAATTTCCTCGGCAAGAGTATTGGAGTGGGTTGCCATCGTATTCTTGCCAGCACTGGGAGCCTCTCAGTGTATGGAAGGTCATCCAGTGAGGGGCTCAAGAAGGAAGTTTGGGTTGTGACCAGTTGGCATATTCAGCATGTAAGGGCAGAGATTTTGACAGGTGCCTCTGTGTTGCTTGAAGGGGTTTTCTGCAGTTTGTGAGAAAATAATTTGCTCAGAAAAAACTCGTTTATGATGAGGATAGTGGAAGTGGAAGTGGAAAAATATAGGTTGATGTAAGTCCATATACTGCAACTTGAGAATTATGATTTGTGATACCCGCCTTCCTTTCTTCTTTTCTAAGTCACGACGGTACAGATTCTCCACCTGATGCTGATGAAGTTGTTGTTGTCCTCAACAACTTCAAGAGCAAAATTATTAAAGTGAAGGTGAGTTTGGTATATTAAGGCAGCCGCTCTATTATAGTTGATAAAAGCAGCAGTAACTTGGTCTTTAGTAGCTGTTATATAAAAATATGTATCTTTAAACCAGTCCCAAACTGTATGAGGTGATGGAATATGTTAACTCCAGAAAAAAAAATGCTGTTATTATGGTGAAAAACTTAGTCACACAGTTATGTCCTATTCTTTGTGATTCCATGGACTGCAGCCTGTCCCGTTCCTCTGTCCATGGAATTCTCCAGGCAAGAGTACTGTAGTGGGTTGCCATTTCCTCCAGGGGATCTTCCCAACCCGAGGACCGAACCTGAGTCTCCAGCATTGCAGGCAGATTCTTTATCAACTGAGCCACCAGGGAAGCCTGATCATTTCACAGTATAGACCTGTACCAGGCCAGCATGTCCTGCACTTTAAATGTATGCAGTGTTACCTGTCAGTTATGTCTCAGTGAAGCTGAAGAGAAAGGAAAGAAACCCACCCAAGACTAATTCACCTTTGAGATTTTACTCCAGCCTTATAGAAATGTGGCTTGAAATGCAAAGTATATTTTGTAAATACAAGTTTGTGGCTTTCTTCAGCTGAGAGGTTGCACCTTTTGGGTTATCTCATTGAACAGTGCAAGTCTCATTTTACATGAAGTGTTTTCATAGATACTGCTTTGTTTGTACAGTCACAGTTCACATTATTTTTTGAAAACTGGGAAGAATGCCAATGAGAATTTCAGCAACAATAATAAATGGTGGTACCTTATTTAATTTCTTGTCACTTTTGCTTTCTGTTCTTAGAACTTTGAAATTCCTAGTGCATTATATTCAAATAAAAGATATTATGAGACAGTCATTATACTCTAAGATCTAAAGCAGGCCACACATGGTTGAGCAGAAAAATGATCCCTATGCTCTCGAGAAGTTTTAACCCCTCTTTGTATTAGTCAGTCCTAAAACAAGGCTGTCATGTGGGATGACTCCTTCCTGGCAGCTGGAGCATGTGCACACTGTACTCTTTGCCTAGAACTAGAGTTAGTTTGGTGAACTGCATTTCTATTTTTACTTAAACTGTAAGATTCTCTGCCCGGTTTTCAAACTAGAGACAGTTATTGTCTAGTTACAAGAGGTTGCTATCTCATCATTAAGATTTTATTTTACTTTCTCATTAAGATTTTAGTGTGGTATGATGAGCATAGTTCTGTTGAATGTGTCTGGGCACATTCAACAGAATTCAACATTCATGTTCTGTTGAATGTGTCTGGACTCAGAGTATGTTATATCTGCTCGCAGGAGAATTCACTCTCTAGTGTTGTCAGTATTCAGTAAGCATCCCGTGAAGATCAGTTCAGTGCCTCCTCAACCCAGTAGGGAGAGTGAGATTCATCACATGTGACTGATTGCAGGTTCAGAAGAAGGCAGACATGGTGAATGAGGACTTGCTGAGCGATGGGACTAATGAGAATGAATCTGGATTTTGGGACTCCTTCAAATGGTAAATTGGCATCAGAAAGAAGTGATGTTTTTAAAGAAAAACTGAGAGATAAATGCCATCCCTCCCTTCTTTTGAATGTAATAATCCTGTCTGGGCTTTTCAGATTCTGCTCTTTGCATCTACTTGTGTGTAGAATAGATGAATGTTTCCCACTGAGTAATTGAAAGAGGTTACTGATCCCTCATAGTGGAGTTACTTCTGTGCCTGACTTCCTAACTCCTGTTGGATTTTTCCTGCTCTTTGGAGAGTTGAGTGGTAATTGCTCAGTTAACTTTCCATTGTTTGTTTTGCATTCTAGTGAACTAGTCCAGTCTTCTCCTGAAGCTCCACAAGGGCCTATGGGCAGCCTCCCTCTCTTTGTCCTGGTGGGAAGCACAATCTCCTTCCCCTCCCCTTAAAGGGCAACATGTCTGTACCAGCATTTCAAGTATTCTTGTTTTTACCTTCCTTATTATAGGGGCTTTACAGGAGGACAGAAGACCGAGGAAGTGAAACAAGACAAAGATGACATAATTAATATTTTCTCTGTTGCATCTGGTCATCTCTATGAAAGATTTCTTCGGTTAGTCATGTTTGGTTATTTCAGTATATATGCATGAATTTGTCATGTTGTTCTTTAAGGAGCAAATGTTTTACAGGACTCTGCCCATTACACTTCTTTGTATTTGAGGCACTCTGAGGATTGCGTATGGATGATTGTATATACTGAGGATTGCGTATGGATGATTGTATATACTTAACATTTGTTTTGATTTGGCCAACCTCATGAAATGGACTATATAATTTATAGTAAATGAATCTGTATAGCTATTATAAGGTTATAAACCTTTAAAACTACTGTGTGCACATTATAAGGAGTGGTTTTTGATTGCCCACCAAGCATTGCCTGAGGATAGAGAATAGAGGTGGAATAGGGCCATGGACCTGCCTTCCGATGATTTGTAGGATTTCAGAGCCAGGAGGGATCTTAGTTGTGTCTTATAGACAGGCTGAGACTTGGAGGGTAGCGGGACTCGGCTGAGGTCACATAGCCAGAGTTGAGGGGAGGCACAGGCTTGGCTGGTGAGTGCAGCAGTCACCAGCGGGGAAGCCCTCAGGGGCGCCTTGTGTCAGTGGTCGGGAGGCCTTGGCTATGAATATGCACCTTTGCCTGACAGCAACTTTCCTAAATGCCAAGGTTCTTTTTCACTTTTAATTTTCCACTACAAATCTAGTATAGCAAATAATCAAGATGTCATTTTACTCGTGTTTAGCTGTCATATTCCCAAGAAATAATATCTGACCTAGAATTGTAATGTCAGATGTTAATAACCACTGAATTTAATTAAATTCCTTGACTCAAAATTTGTTTGTTTGTTTTCCAAGTAGGGAATCCCGAAGCTGTGATCATTTGCCATCCCCTTCCCTCTGCCTACTCTCCTCCCTGGCTGAGCCCCCATATGTAGACTGGGAGAGGCAGTGCTATTACGCAGAGCTGCTGAGGCTTCACTGATTTCCTCTTTAGAGTGATGTAGTCATTAAACACAAGCTCCATGATTCACTTGTACCGTAATTAATGTGTCAGTTCATAAAGGAGTTTATTTTAAGGTGTAATGTAATTAGAACACATGCCTCTATCAGTCTGGTATATTTTTATAGGTAATAAGTACTCCTTTCTCATCCAGAAAAGACTCTATAAAATGAATAAGTGCAAGTTTCCATTTTCCACTAGTCAGGGTCTCTCTTTGCCCAACTAAGCCATTAGTTTAACTCTGCCATAAAGCACACTGAGTCTAGTGATTGACTTTACTTGATTTTATTGAGATTAAAAAGATTTGAATGATTGTTATTATTGCTTGCTTTTGTTTGACAGCATAATGATGCTATCAGTACTGAAGAATACCAAGACTCCTGTGAAATTCTGGTTCTTGAAGAATTATTTGTCCCCCACGTTTAAGGTTTGTTACTTAGGCTTTGAAAAGGAAAACTTGCTTATTAAGGAGATATTTGCAGTGCAATATGCTGTTTACTACTTCTACTTTATCTGTGTATTTAAAAATTTTTTCCTTTTATTAGGTTACTGACTGTAATTCACCTGCATAATTCTATGTTGATTATTCTTCCCCCGTCTGTTTGGGGGGAATAGTTGTTATAAAACTGAACACAGAATCACAACTTGGTTGAAGCTTGGATAACATAAGAGGAGAGTCTGTTTCTTCTGTTTTGATGAAGTAACATGTCTCTTCAAGCAAGAGTGTCCTCATTTAATGAGAAACCACAGTACTGATTCCAATGACAAGGATGGTTTGTTCTGTTTTGAACAACTGTACCCAGGGATCTGTGGAAGTAATGTATCATCTGTGCAAAGCAAAAACACACATGGAAAGTTTAGAAAGTTTTCTGCTTTGTTTTTAATCAGTATTTGTCATCCAAATTGATTTATTTGCATCTTTTCCTATGTTGTTCTGTAGAATTTACCAAGCAACTTTTAATATATTCAGTAATATCTCCCCAAGATAAATAATTCACTTCTGGTCCCCTAAGGTACTTATATTTAGAATCTGAAAGACTTGATGGCAACAAACTTGTTCAGAGTATTTGGGTTTGCCATGTCATTCCCTGGATTAGACCTAGTGGTGAGAAAGGCTTAAAATCAAGCTCAAAAAAATGTTTTACTGAAATCAAGTTAAGACAAAGTCCATTTCCCTTAAACATAACACACATAAATTAGTTATATAAAAACCTTCACTTAAAGAATTCTGGTCATCTCATGTGTGGTTAGAAATCATAAAAAATGGAGATTGACAAAAGTTTATATGTATTCTTTATGTAGTCACAAGTTAGTCAGGGTCACATTTCTTCATTAGACTGCTGATACAGTAAATGTGTTTTACTTGTGCCATAATTGTGGTTTGTTGACTGACTTGTTTTTCTTAATCAAAGTAAATGATTGTTGTTCCCTGTGTCTGCAAATAGGAGTTTATACCTTATATGGCAGACAAATACAATTTTCAGTATGAGCTTGTTCAGTACAAGTGGCCCCGGTGGCTTCACCAGCAGACTGAGAAGCAGCGTATCATCTGGGGTTACAAGATCCTCTTCCTGGATGTGCTGTTCCCACTGGTTGTTGACAAGTTCCTGTTTGTGGATGCAGACCAGGTGAGCTCTCAAAGGCTGGGTTTCAGAAGTGCAAATTAAAGGCATTAGACTTCCTTTTCCTTTTTAAATGATTTTATCTTTCCAATTGTGGAAAGATACACACTTATTTTACATTATTTAGAATATATGAATCTATTTGCAGAACAGCAATGGAGACACAGACATTGAGGACAGACTTATGAACATGACTGGGCAGGGGGGAAGAAGGAGGGGGTGGGATGTGTGGAGAGAGTAACATGGAAACATACATTACCATATGTAAAATAGATAGCCAGTGGGAATTTGCTGTGTGACTCAGGAAACTCAAACTGGGGCTCGATAATAACTTAGAGGGGTGGGATGGGGAGGGAGGTGGGAGGGATGTTCAAGTGGGAGGGGACATGGGTAAACCTATGGCTGATGTTGGTGTTTGGTAGGAACCAATGTAGTACTGTAAAGCAATTATCCTTCAATTAAGAAGAAAAAAAGAATATATGGAAAGGTATCACCAGATGTGATCACTTTTAAAATTTGTGTTCAGTGTATCTCCTTTCATCTTTTCTCCTGTGCCTCTTTTATGTAGTTATGATTACATCATTTATGTAGTTTTATATCTTAAATTTAACACATTTAATATACAAACTAAAATTGAAAAATTTGCTGGTTTAACATAACACTACTTGCTGTCATCTCCAGTCATTTGCCCCAAAGCTAGGAGTTATTGATGAGGGTAAGAGAGGGGGTTGGTGCCTGGCCTTTACCATGTGGAATTCTTCAGATAGTCTTCCTGCTATCAGGAATACAGCTGACTTAATTAAAAGAAACACACAAATTTTAGAGCATACACACTCAAAAAGTGTAAATATATGTCTGCCCTACAGCCTTTACCCTTATCCTGAACTATCTAAAACCTGAGTTTCTCATCTGAGTGGAAGTGATGTAATGTGTGCAGAAGTCATTTGGACAAAAATCATCCTAGTCTTGGGAATTCTGCCTCACCTGGCTCATTTATATCACAAGTGGCTCAACATGAAGCCTGCTTTCCTAGTTCTGCAATCACGTTTCATCCCGAGCACTTACTGTGTGCCAGGCATCATTCTCCATCTGTCCATACACGAGTTCATGTGATCCTCCCAACAAGTCTGTGAGAGCTCCATTTTAGACTGAGAAACTGAGTCACAGAGAGGCCACACAATGTAAATCTGTTTTACTTCTGCTTTTTTTTTTTGTATACTTAGAGTACTATGCCCCGAGCAGTAGGCTAATCATCTTACGTGCTAGTGAGGGCAGTCAGCCTAATCAAGAAGAAGCCAGGCTTGAACTGGGTTTGCTGCCTGTGCCACGGATCAGTCCCTGAGCTGTGCCCTCAGTATTTTTAGGAAACTGCTATCTGCATGGGTGTTAGACAAGTGACTGTGATCCTTTCTTCTTCAGATTGTACGAACAGATTTGAAAGAGTTAAGAGATTTCAATTTGGATGGTGCTCCTTATGGTTACACTCCTTTCTGTGACAGCCGCAGAGAGATGGATGGCTACAGGTTCTGGAAGTCAGGGTACTGGGCCAGTCACTTAGCTGGGCGAAAATACCATATCAGGTACTGAGAATGTTACGGTTTGATTTTCATTTCTTTAAAATTAATTTTGCGTATTTAAAATTGTGAGTAGGTAATATGTTAATGTGGTTCAAAAATAAGAACTATAAAAAATATATAGTGAAAAGCAGCCCCATTCTGTCTACTTACTGTGTCTCCTTCTAGAGTTTTTTAATTCTTAGGTAAAAAACTATGACTTCTTTTTTTACACAAAATATATCCTACCTTATTTACGGTTTTGTGCTTTGCTTTTTTAACTTGATGTTTCTAGTAGACCTTACATCAACATGTAGAGAGAGACCTTTTTCCTTTTTGTATCAACATATTATTCCAGTATATGTGTCATTGTGATCTTGCTACTACATACAATGTTATTTGTTGTTGTTGTTTAGTCACTAAGTTGTGTCTGACTCTTGAGATACCATGGACTGTATGTAGTCTGCTCCTCTGTCCATGGGATTTCCCAGGCAAGAATACTGGAGTGGGTTGCTATTTCCTTCTCTGGCAGATCTTCCCAACCCAGGGATCGAACGCTCATCTCCTGCATTGGCAGGCAGGTTCTTTACCACTGAGCCACCAGTTAAACACACAATTTTGTATATTTCAAATATACCTATAGAATAAATTCCTAAAACTCCTAGGCTAAACAGTGTATGTATTTGTTGTACATCTGTTGTTTCTGTATATTATCATCTCTGGGAAAAGTGTGATTTGGAGAGTAGGGAAATCTGTGGGAAGCAACATGTATAGAGAGAAATGTTGGGGTGTTGGTGATTTAAGTATTATACTGTATGCCCTTGGTCCGAAGGACCTATAACACTTGGTTGGTTTTTTCCTCTGTAGCGTTTAAGATATAATCAGTATATCTTTGACTGATTATCAATTACTATAGTTTTTATCATCAAACCTGCTGACATTTGCTAGAAACCTTCCTTTGTCAGAGATTATTTCTTTTGGAACATTGACAAAATGAGCTTGTGGTACCAGAATATGGGTTTTGTAATCACTTCCTTAGCTATCTTTGAAGTGGTACGTAGTGACTGTGAGCTCTACTGTAAAGCCTCAGCTTACCTTTTCCACGAGAAACCAGAATGTTAGCCTAGTGACCTGTTCCATTAATCAGTGGGGTTACTTTTTCTGCCCTAATCTGTGGTTGTAACAAGTGGATTTTCTCTATCCAGTGCACTGTATGTCGTGGATCTGAAGAAGTTTAGGAAAATAGCAGCTGGTGACAGACTCAGGGGACAGTACCAAGGACTGAGTCAGGATCCTAACAGCCTTTCAAATCTTGATCAAGTAAGTGTCCACTTGTTTTGGTTAACAGTTTTGGTAAGGGCTGTACCGTGTATCAGAAAATGAAGTAGTATTTGCTTCTCATTTCTCTCTGTTGGGATAGTGTTTTGTTTCTTCATGGAAAGGAATTTGTGTTTATTGTGTGTGTGTGTGTGTGTGTGTGTGTGTGTGATTTTTATTTGCCCTTAAGAGAGAACATAGTGGTAAAAAATGCAGTAGGCCTGATGTTGATTTGGGGAGGGAGATGGAAGGAGGGCGCTGCGATATCTTCTCATTTTGTGCCTGGCTAAGCTGATGAATTTGTTTTTCTGCCTGCTAGACTCAGTTTGTTTCTCTTCTTTAGGAACTAACTATCACAGCACAGGATATAGTATTGTTATTTCTCTTTTTTCTATATCAAAAACCATGGTGTTTTTTTAAGAAGTTTAGCTGAATCACTATTTACTAATGCTAATCATTTTTTAGAGGTGAGATTATAGTTTGTGCTTTAGGTACGTAGTTTCACATACTTTGTTTTGCTTAAGTCTGCTTTAAACATTTTTAAAGTCTGCTTTAAACCTTTACTATGATATTTAGCACCCATAAATAAGAGTGTACAAAACAAAATATACAAATACATATTCATATGCATCAATGAAGTACCACACAGCACACACCCATGTACTGCCACCCAGTTTAGGAAACTCAACATTCTTAGCAACCCAAAAGCCACCCTCTTCTCCAACAGCATCCTAACTTTTGTGGTAATCATTTCATGGCTTTTCTGTGTTGAGTAACTACTTACATATGTATCCTTAAACACGATAGTTTTGCCTGTTTTTTTCCCTGCCTGTCTCAGTGGGATTATACAAGGTGTACTCTTTTGAGTCTAACTTCTTTTGCTTAACATTATGTTAAGGAGATTCATCCATGTTGCTGTATGAAACGGTACTGAGTTTTGTTTATTGTAAATTGAATTGTTTTCCATTGTTGTCTTCCATGGATAATGCTGCTGGGATCAGTTATACATGTCTTGGTTGATGCACATGTACATGTGATTCAGTTGTATAGACAACTACAAGTTGAATAGCTGAACAGTCAGATTGGTGGATCTTTATCTTTATTAGATAATTCCCAACAGTTTCCAAAGTAGTTCTGATTTATACTCCCATCAGCAGTGCAAGGATTCCTGATACTCTGTTTTGAGTAATACTTGTTGTTAATCGACTTGAGTAGATGTGAGCTGGCATCCCATGTGGCTTTCAATTGGAGAGTTTAATCTGTTTATATTTAATGTAGTCATTAGTGAGGTGGGATTTACATCTGCCAATTTCTTGTTTTCTATCGTTTATGTTTCTCAATTCCTGCATTACTATCTTCACTAATAGATGTTTTAATTCCCCTCTTGTTTCTTTCACTGTATACATGGGGATTTTCTGGGGTTTTATTTTTGTTTGTTTGTTCTAGCCCAGTTGCTCTAGTCTGAGAAAGTATTCTTTATGATTTTAGGCATTTAAAATTTGTTGAGCTTTGCTTTTTGATCCAGATATGGTCAATTTTGGTAGACATTTCATCTGGTTTTATACCCTGCAGATGTTAGATGTAATGCTTTTCTTTGTATGTCCATTAGGTGAGGTTTAGTGATAATGTTACTGTTACTGAGTCCAAGCACAGTCTGCTTGCTGCATGACAAGGCAATAAATCGAGAGATGAGGTGTTGAATCAAGGAATAGCAACTTTATTTGAAAAGCTGGGTGTCCGAGATGGTGGACAAGAGTCCTAGAGTACTATCTTATTGGTGTCTGGATGCTAGTTTCTTTTATAAAACAGAGAGAGGCAGGAGGTGAGGAAGTAAAGTGAAGAGGCTGTAAGTCTTGCAAAATATCTCCTGGTTTGGCCAGCCTCTGGGAGGGGATGTGTTAATTTCTTCTTTGCTGCAGCCATTCACAGGTGGACAAGATCAACAGGTTTCTCTAAGCTGAACAAAACCCCTTGAGTTTAACTTTCAGGGTTCTCCGCAGCAGGCCATTATGTATGCTTATTACTATAGAAAGCATCCTTTTAGTGATTTAGAAAGCATCCTCTAGTGATAAGAAAAGCAACACAAAGCAGAATTTAAAGAAACAGATCCAACAGAGTCAGGTTTTGTTCTTTTCTGTTACATTATGTGTGTTTTATCTGTTTTTCTATTAGTTACTGAGACAATTATGTTAAAATCTCTTTCCATAATGTGAAATCTTGTCTTTAGTTTTGTCACATTTTACTTGATGTACTTAGAGATATATTGTTCATTGCCTAAAAAGTTAGAAGTCATATATATTTCTGACAAATTAACTTTTTATTATTTCTATTGATGCTTTTTGGGCAGGGGCTTGAAGTGTGCTTCATCTAATAATAGTATAGCTACACTGGTTTTCCTTTTAGTTAGTGTTTCATGGTATATTTTTTTATCCTTCTGTTTTCAATAGTTCTTAATCCTTGTTTTAGTTCTATTTTCTATAAAGAGCTTATATTGGTTTGTTTTTTCAAATGGTGTGACCACCATTTAATTTGAACATTAGTCCGTTGATAGTAAATGTAATCACCAACAAGTTTGGCTTTTCCACAGTGCCCTTGCTTATGCCATGTGTCCAGTGTTTCTTTTTTTTCCTTAGTCAGTTTCTTTCCAAATGATTGAGAGTTTTTAATATTCTGTTTCCCTCTATTAAACTATACAGTTTTAAATAATTTTTTAATGATTAGCCTAGAGGCAACAGCATGCATTTCTGACATTGCAAAGGCTAATATTAAATAGTGTTTACCCAGCCACTGGACAGGGAAAAACATTAGAACAGTTCTTCTCAAATTTTAGCATAATAAAAAAAAAATCATCTGAAGAACATACTAAAGCATTGATCTTTGGGCTCCCATCCTCCACAGGCTGATTCAGTAGGTATTTGGTTGGACCTGAGAATCTGCATTCTGAGCCAACTCTGTGCTCCAAGTCCACATACTACATTTTGAGTAGCATTGTCTTAGAACTCATTAACTCCATTTATCCATTGTTAAGATCAAGTAATATTTCACTGTATGTATGTACTACATTTTGTTTGGCTATTCATCTGCTGATGGACATTTGGCTTATTTCCATCTTTTGACTGCTGTAAATAATGCCTTTATGAACATTGGTATGCAAGTATCTGTTTGAGTCCCTGCTTTCAGTTCTTATGTGTATATACCCAGAAGGGAAATTATTGGATCATATTGGTTGTTTGTGTCTTTGGACAACAGAACATTTTATTATTAATGTGTCAAACTCAAAAGTTTTCCTAAGAGAAAAGCTTCAAAACATAGAGTACAGTTGGCTAGAAAACACATGGGCTTCATCTACTTGGGATCAAGCCTCAGATGATAAGGTGGATTTAGAACTTCCTTTAAGCAAAACTTTGACATACAAGAGCCACATTCAATGCTTAATTGGCTTTTAGAAGGCAGTGCTGTTTTTCTTAGAAATGCCCTCAGGAAGGGAAATCTGTTGTTCAGTTGCTAGGTCATGTCCAACTCTCTGTGACCCCGTCAACTACAGCATGCCAGGTTCCCCTGTTCTTCACTATCTCCTGGAGTTTGCTCAAATTCATGTCTGTTGGTGCTATCTAATTATCTCATCCACTACCATCTGCTTCTCCTTTTGCCTTTAAATCTTTCCCAGAGTCAGGGTCTTTTCTAATGAATTGGCTCTTTGCATCAGGTGGCCAAAGTATTGGAGCTTCAGCTTCAGCATCAGTTCTTCCAATGAATAATCTGGGTTGACTTCCTTTAGGATTGACTGGTTTGATCTCTGTGCTGTCCAAGGGACTCTCAGGAGTCTTTTCAGTTCAGTTCAGTTCAATTCAGTTCAGTTGCTCAGCCATGTCCGACTCTTTGCGACCCCATGAATCGCAACACGCCAGGCCTCCCTGTCCATTACCAACTCCCAGAGTTTACTCAAACTCATGTCCGTCGAGTCAGAGATACCATCCAGCCATCTCATCCTCTATCGTCCCCTTCTTCTCCTGCCCCTAATCCCTCCCAGCATCAGAGTCTTTTCCAGTGAGTCTTTTCCAGTGAGTCAACTCTTCACATCAGGTGGCCAAAGTATTGGAGAACAGCTTCAGCGTCAGTCCTTCCAGTGAACACCCAGCACTGATCTCCTTTAGGATGGACTGGTTGGATCTCCTTGCAGTCCAAGGGACTCTCAAGAGTCTTCTCCAACACCACAGTTCAAAAGCATCAATTCTT